TCTGGGAAAATTTGATTCATATTCGATTCGTATTCGAATTAAAGAGATTTGATTTGAAGTGAAAATTTCAGATTCGATTTCGAACATGTTATAAAAATTGGATTCGATTTGATTTGCCCATGCAAATGCTTGATTCGCACACCTCTATTATTTATTAATACAAAATTTTTTTTTCATTGCACAAATATACAGTAAAACACAAATATACAGTATTGTTAAATTTTTAAAATTATTTACTTTCATTTTAGTTGAAAAAAAATTCTTAAAAATCTCTGTTTTTTTAGTCTTGTAAAGTAGAGTCTCCCTTAATATGTATTTCTACATTTTTTTCTGAGTGTTTTATTATTTTTACATTATTACAGACAGTAGTACCTCCTAAGGAAACAATGAAATTCAACGAAGATACGCTGTTGCGTCATGCACAATTTATTTGTGATCAAGTTTTGTCGTTTGATAATGCTGGCGATGACAATACCTTTCTTATTACAACTTCGTGTATGCGGGCCATCACGAAACTTTCTGGTGTCACGTTGGGTAAGAAATCGGCTGTTCGTTCAATGAGACGTGAACAGAAAATTAAAGCGCCCGCCTGGTCAATGGCTACTACGACAAAATTAGTTCGTGATATGTTCGAAAATATTTTCGCTGGCCAACTTGCCAAACATAATGACAGTAAGGTATATATTGCCATATATTGCAATTAATACTTTTTATTTGTATCATACTATTAAGCATTTTCTTTTCTTAGTTGCTGAAAAGGCGGCGATGCGGTGTTTGTGACAACTGTCGACAACCCGACTGCGGTACTTGCACTGCTTGTAAAAGTATGCCGAAATTCGGTGGCAAAGGAATTCAAAAGCAGGCATGCATTAAGAGAAGATGTCCAAATTTGGCAATTCAGGTATAATTTTAAATATAAAGATTTATATGCAATTATTATTTACCTCTTGATTATATAAATGAAACAACCAGTGTTGGGTAATAACTAATTAATAAGTTAAAAATTAAATAAAAAAGTTAAAAAATTAATAACTTTTAACTTAGCTTAGTTAAATGAATTAATATCAACTAGTTATTTTAAAAACACAAACTTTAACTTTTTAATATTGTTCCTAAATTAAACATTTTTTTATCTCTCTAAATGTCAATATTTTTTAAATAAAAATTTTAAACAGAATTAATTTAGATCAATCGTAATATGCGCGACATTTTTAGTGCTCAAAAGTAAACTGAACTTGACAAACTTAG